GGCAAACTGTTACGATATTGGATGGCTTTTGGGTTGCACGGCACATGTTAATAGTGAACAAGAAGATGTCTTTATCTCTTGTTCAGTATTTCTCCAAAGAAGATGCAGAAAACCACGTTTTCTGACTTGCATAAGTCTACCCAAAGTCTTCTACTAGCTGGTTGTGAAGAATGTTACTGGAGCACTCATAAGAATGTGTGTAGCATGGAGGGAAAAAAAATGCTGGGTGAAAGGGAAGTTTGAAAGACTTCTGAAAAGCATTTGTATGATGTCACCATATTTTGTCTCCACTGATAACATGTCATGCTTTATGATATCTGAATTTTCATAAGTAAGGTGAGACTCACATATACAAACTTCATGTTTTGTTCAGGGCTTGTTGCTGTGGGAGAGAAGGCGCAAAAGAGATCTGGACATTATGTTGTGATGAAGGATCTTTCAGGTGAGATTTTGATCATCTTTGGAAAAGCTCAAAAGGTTCATTGAAAATGAATAGCAGCACTGAAATTTCAAATGCATTTTGGCTTTAAGGCAAGCATCCAGTTTCTGCATTGATGGAGATCTGTAACAAAAGAAGATGGTCACCACCTGAGTTTGTGTTGGTGGATGATAGTGGGCCTGATCATCGCAAACACTTCATCTTTAAGGTGAGTCTGAATTTGTTTGTTTACTGTTAGCTTGTCTATTAAAGTGTGATATTAAATTCATCTTTATATTTCTGTATTCCAGAGGTGGCTGGGGTATGCTGGGCAGTGTCTCAGTGCTAGAGTATCAGAGCCCTGTTTCTGTGAAAGCCATATCAGGTCTCTCCAGCGCATTAATCTGCAAATCCATCAAGGAACTGTGATACCATTCCACGGCTTACTAAAATGATTAACTTGTGTGGAATCATATTCTTGCTTCTTGTTTGCAGGTGTGGTGCAAATACAATTGTAAAGATAGTGAAAAGACTCGGTCGTTTTTTACTTTTAGGTATCTTAGAATGTGATCTGTTTTGTTTTTTTTTCTGTTGTGCTATCTTGTGTTAACGATTTCCATCTGGAGGTGATTCTTGCAGGCTAGACGTGAGGCACTTCCTAACATGTCCTTTTTCCATCCGTCTCAAACAGGTGAGAGTCAATGGAAATGAATACAGGCCTACTTTTGCCAGCCTTAATAAGAAGCATGCTAAAGCCACAGCAGCAACTGCGGCTCTCCAAGCGATGGGACTTGTACCAAAGGAAAGCATGGTCAATACCACCATGTTTAGGAGTGCCTCACACCGCTAGATATTGTTTTTTATATTGACATTATTTCAGATAATTTTACTCTGCACAAAAATGGTATTTGCCCTTTCATGTTGTAAATACATTGGCAATTCCCACGTTGTAAAAACTGTACAGACACCTTCAGGTTTTTCTTTTGTACCATCAAAATGTATTTAAATCATACTTAGTTTTTGGTATGTTTATATTGTTTACATTAGTGATGTAATTATTTCTTAAATGACTAAATCAGACGACAGACTCTGGAGGCATCAGTAATCTAAACCCTTGTTTTAAAACTCATGCGATCTCTCCTCGATATGGAATGTTAACACTTTCATACTGTTTTGTACTATGCTGCAGTTTTCCCTGGTCTCGGTAAAGCTACTCTTGCACTTTTGCCTGGTGAAAGCTGGTAAAAGACCACGCAGCTTACCTTAGTCTAGTCGAGGCTGGCGTGTACTGCTGGGCAGATACCGGGCCAGTACTGTGACCCCTGGGAGAGAGGGAGCCGTGGTAGCAGCCCTGTTGTACAGTGCTAACGCCGCCGCTTCTCTTGGAGTTTTGTTTGGGGTTTCACTCGGTGCTGCACCGCAGCTGGCCATGCAGCTCATCCTCTAGGACGTACGCGATGAGGCAAAAGTCTTGCTTTAAAAGGGATGGCAGAAAGTCTAGCAATGGAACCAGCGAGACTTTTGAGATGTAAAAGTGACTCTCCCTGCATGTTCTGAGAAGGGAGATGATGGAGTTGTCTATTCCAAACAAATTAACACACTGCCTGATGTTGATTGTATGGATTTGTGGTTAATGTGAATTTTAAAGTCTAACAAATCTACAACTGGACTGGGGGGAGGGAGGGAATAGAATGATGCTTAAATTGTTGTACCCAACTTGGTCAATAAAGCAGCACAAGTTCATAATCTTAATCGCTGGTCAGTAAGCAGTAATTAAAATCTATGCCAAAAGAGCTTTATGAAGAAACGCACAGTGCAAACGTATCGCTTAACAAGAGTAGCAGCAGCCATTAGAGCTGTGGAATCTGTTCTAGGCAACTTCACTTGCTTTGGACTATTACCAAATGAACTCCTTGAGCTTGCATTTTCTGTAACGGTACTCTGCCCTCAAGGAGACAATCTGATCCAGAGTTGTGGCAGTTTGATAAGGGAAAGGATATAGGAAGCTTTTCCTTTTATTTTTTTTTTCCTCTTAATTTAAGAAGTATTAGTTCTTTAGCTATGTGCACTTTGAATTGGAAAGGGCATTGTACACCTTTAGCCAGATTTGTCTGTGTTTTGAGCAGACTGCCGGGATTGCAGCAGTACTTAATTACTGTGGTAGTTCAGGTGCTTATTTCCGAAAAGTCTTTGAGGATTTTTTTTGTATTACATCAAGTGACCAGAGCTTCATCGGGAACAGGAACAAATTACAATTTGTATGCAATAGGACTGTGCTCAGGCCTAAAGTGAACGACCTTTGCAATGGCAGTAGGATCTTGGAGGTGATGAATTAATAGTAGCTCTTCCTCCGCAAATTATTTGTGTGTGCTCTCAGCTGTTACTGAACAAGGTATCTTCCTTTGCCCTCAGTGGACAAGTACCAGTGTCTCGTTTTGCATACAGCAGAGAAGCAGTGCTGTGTTGTCCACCACACACCCACAAAATAACCCCCTTTATTAGTCTATCAAAGCACTCTAGAAATGACAACTTTTTTTTTTCTTCTTGTGGACGTAGTTGTCTCTAATTAAAGTTTTCTCCCTTTGGCTTCTCACCTTCAGTCTCTGTGTAAAATTGTTTGAAGATCTCCTCGCCTCATTTTCTGAACAAGTTGTAAGGTTGAGAAACAAAGCTAAGCAGATGGTACAGCGATGGAAAGACGGACTGTGGGAGAACTGGGTATTGTATCCATTTTAGGCAAGTCCAGCTTTCTGATGTCTGACTCAAAGCTGTTAACTCAGGATGTGGGAGGCAGCTCCTATTCAGGCTTCTGTTCAAATATCTGCTGATACAGTTAAAACATCAGCAGTGTTGCTCGTGCTGTTCCGTCCGTGGTGTCCATATAAGCACAGGTTTTGGATCTGTTCATTATCTGGAACATAATCTGTTGTACTTTGTTAATTTTGTTCTTTCGGGGTTTATATTCTCCGTGTATATTGGAAAGATATGTTTTGAGGAACAGATGAATTCAGTCCCATAGAAGACTCCATTTCAAAAGTAACTGTTCAGGCAAATTCTGGATTTCACGCCTTAAAAGACGTGGTACTGTATGTAGATCTAACCTTTGATTTTCAATACTTACAATATTAATATCTGTAATACTTCAATTATGACACTTCTTGACTTCGGGGTTTCTGTTTTAGTTTCATTCCTGTTGTTTAGAATGATAAATGAATTTAGTGCGGAGATGTCCTTCTGTTCAGTTTGTAAATTTGGTTGGAGTGTCCTTTGCATGCAGGAATAGACAAGTAGTCCTATTAAAAAGAGTAACTAGGAAACACTCTCTCGGGACCTGTTTATTTATGGGGCACTTCAGCTGTCTCAAAAGTGAATGGACTCCTGGAACTCGAAGGCATCTCTGTGCCTGCTGGGTTTTTGTTGTTGCAGGATTGCTTTCCTAGAAGTGCTTTCACTGATAGTGCTTCCAATTTCCCTGTGGTGCCTGAGCACGTAGAGCCAGCAGCCACCAGAACCAGTTCCAGACAGTCAACTGTAGTTTTAAAATAGAGGGCTGGAGAAACAGCAAAGTCAAGTATAATAACTGCCAGGCTTGCCAGAATTGGTGCTGGTTTCTCTCCAGTTGTCTGACACCCTAGATCTAAAGATCTAAAGCTGTCCTTTTGTACTGTAAGGTAGGGACTTGAATTGAGGTCTGTCTAGGCTTTCCTGATGCCCTGGTCTTCTCTGTACTATGACCCTGCCAGTGCCATGGTAGTTACTGTGCAGTAACACTGTAAACCTACACAGTACTCGTGTAACTGCCTCAGTCTGCAGTGATTTGCTTACAGAGCTGGTTGTTAGGTCCATCAAGCAGACTATCACTGCTTCAGAATGATGTCAGGTGAACAGGACACCACTGTAGTGAAAATAAAGGTTGCGTGACTACAAGTATTATTCTTTTCTGTGCAAAATACCAGAATTACAAATCTTGCTGAGTGCATAAGCATGATGGTATTCTACTTACTGCTCTTCAGATCTACTATTTTTTGCTGCAGGAAGAGGCTCACCTGATAGCTGTGTGATAAATGACATTATACACATCTCCAAAGCAGCAGTAGCGTAACAGATTACATTAAACCTGAACATAGGCTCTTGATATGAACAGAGCTGCATCACCTTGCTGCCTTTCATTTCCTCTGCTTCCATCAGGTGTCATAACCCTATTGTGTTGTTCTAACTTGTTCTGGTGCACGCTCCATTGTATAAACTGCCTGTTTAAAATAAGATTTTTAAGTAAGTAAATGAAGATGGCAGTGTTGGAGGATTATGGCAGCAGTTCTGGGGCTCCCAGCCTTTTAATCTGATTCAGATGCAATTGGAACTGTTTGTACCCATCTGATTTCTGGTTTTTGCAGTTGAAGTTACACCTCAACCAAGAGGTGTAAAGTGCTGAGATGTAGGCCAAGCTTCTGGCTCAGTGCTGTAAGCAGGGCTCAGAGGTAATAAAAGAATTCCACCCCGCAGAAGTGGCTACACATTACTGCACTGAGCAGTAGCAGCAGTTCTGTGTTTCAGAATAGAATATACACATAGGTGAAAAAAATACAGGCCTTCCACCCTGAATTCAGATCAAAAGCAGACCATTTTATAAAATTTTATTTTTAAAAATGCTTTCTAAAATACAAAAGGAGATGTCCAGGGCCTTTTCCTCAATTTCCTCCGAAAACCCCTCACCGCGTTCTATTGCTGTGATGTGCAAGAGTTGGCTGTGACGTTCAACTAGGTTACTTAGCTCCTCTAACAGCATGGGTGCTGCCCTGCAGGCCTGAAGGAAGCGCAGCAACTTCACACTGGAGAGCTTTGTGCTCCACCTCCTCCAAACAGCACGTACCTAAGACTTCCAGGCATATGCAGAGTCCTTCATTTCCAGAAACCGGAGGGAAGATTTTCCCAGTGTTGGCACCTGACTCAGTTGATCCAAAGTTTTAGAATGCAGCCCACACTTCAGCAGGTCTTTACTTACGGTTTCCTGAAGAAGAGAAACACGCAATACACATTTCTGTCTGAAATAGCTGTAGTTTTCGATGTTCATTTATGTACCTTTGGGGAGCTCCCAAAAAGCTAGTTTTCTGATGAGCCCATTTCTGAGCCACAGTGACCGCCGTGTGGCCATCACAGTGGGGTATAAACCCACGCATTAAGTAGCTTATCTCTCAGCACCCAACGGTTTGTAATAAAGATAGTGTTCCTAACAGGAAAGGCTGTCTTCTCTAGTTTACTTACCTTCTTTAAGGCAGGGCTCGCATTATGGAGATTAGCGTTAAACACAGCCGTTGGCTCGTGCGTATACAGCACTGCAGAAAATGCTCCCTGCTGTGCAGACTGCAGCAGCATGGTCAGCAAGTGGAGAGAATGAGGCAGGACAGGGCCTACGATCTCCAAACTGAAGATATCTTCATATGCCAGGCGGACCCTGGCTTTTGCGTTCATACTACGAGCCTGAAACCAACAGCACGCAGGATTACATTTTGAAACCAAATCAAGATGGTTGTTCATACACCTTCATACTGCAGTGCCATAAGCCTGTGAAAAGCTCAAAATATTTTAAAATATCAGCTTCAGTACATGCGAGTATTATGTTTTTAGCATCTCTAACAGCTCCTAGAACTGAGTATTTTAAAGTATTAGGGAAATCATGTGCAGAAGAACTTTGCATACCACATGAGCAGCTTCTCCAGTGGCAGAGGACTGCGCTGTCGGCACAGGGAGCGTAACAGTTAGTGCCCACCACCTCCCACAGTTACAGGTCAGAGGCTCTCATTGCCTGGTGAAATATCATCTCAGCAGACCCTGTATGATCTCAGTAGCATTCAAAGGCGAATCTTCTAAGAACGTTTTTACAATCTGGGAACTACTTAACAGCTATTAGGATAGGTAGAAATAGTGGGATTTCAGTTCAGCACCACAGGTTACGTGGGTAAAGATGACTCTGGAGGAAGTCCACATTACAGTCAATGCCAATTCAGGCTCTAGCATCAAAAATCACTCTGCTGTACCAGAAGGTAGAGCTTTCTGCTTATTACAGGAAAAGAGATTGCTGCATTACTTACTTTGAGCGTTTGCATTGTTCCACCTCGGAAAGCAACAGGAGACAATAGAGTGGGAGGAAGCCCTGCCTGTGGACCTGCAACAGCCACCAGGCTCTTACAGTTTATCAGGAAGTTCAATAAAGTGAACGTGTTTGTTCCTTTCACCACTGCGAGGGATTCAGGTCTGTGATCCACCTGCACTTCATGCTTCTCTTTACGACTGAATTGACCAGAGTCGAGGGAAAAACTTAAGCAGCACAGCAACTCCAGAACAAACCCCACTGCCCCTCTACCTTTGACCAATCATTAAAACAAATAGTTTCTCCAAAAAAAAAACAAGCCTTGAGCTCATTCAGATTCCTTACATCGATTACTTGGCAGCATCTTACACCTGACTGATTATTAAAGCTGTGAGAGAAGGAATGTTTTCAGGTCCAGTGTCTTACAGCTGGCAGGTAGCAGTTATTAAAACAAAGCTTGCAACTCCTACTTTTACTATGATTCTTGCATCAAAACATAAAAACATTAGCAGCTCAGTTTAGAGCAGGAGTCTGCTTTTGTAGGGATTCCCCTGATTCCCCCACTTATGATGCACTGGTGCAGGGTAAGTCTCAGAAGTTGGAAGGACATTCCTCTTGGATTCACCAAAAGGCAACAGCTGCAGGGCTTTCCACTGCAGTAAGTGGCGAGACAAAAAGAAAGGATACAGTTTAATAGAAACAGCATCTGGTTTTTTAACCTTGTCTTGGACTCCCATCTCCTCAAGCCAAGAGAAACCATCATCATCATCATCACTTGAAGCAGCTTCCCTAAGAAACAGGATCACTTTTAGGAGGATAAAACTTTCTCAGAACTTTTCAAATAAAATGTGCAGGAGTCCAGAAATGCCTCACAACTGCAGCATTTTAGATTTATGACATACTCGCCATTCTCAGGGCTTCTACCCACTTCAGGGTCATGAGCAACTTCTGTTTCCAAATTCCCTTCAGAGTTTTTCTGTTTTCTGCTTCTACTTTCTTCTACCAAAGGTAGAGAAAACTCTATGCCTTGAAGAGAAGAGCAAAGAAAGCAATGAGTGGTTTTGGAATGCACAGCAAATGCTATGTATTGGTTATTAAAATGTAAGTCAGATTGGTTTCACCTCACCTTCATTTCTCATGGCTTCCCTTAAACCTCTGGTGGTGGGAGCAATCACTGCTGTGATAACATCACTTCCCGCCAGACCAGCTGCACGGAACAGGACAGTAAACTGGTAAGTGCACACATAGAAGTAGGGGCACAGCTTGGCTTTGAGCAGATTGTATAGAGAAGTAAAGCTGACAGACCTGCAAATGAGGGGAAAAAACAAACAAACAAACAAAAAACCAATTTTGTAATTGAAATCCTTTGCTGCTGATGGATCAAGCTGGATTTGGCTGGGTGTTATTGATGTGTGCTCCAGCCAGGCTTGAGACCACAATAACTGATATTAGTCTGATTTTCATATGCACTCAGCATCCAGGAAGTTGCTCTGAACTCCTGTGAAGCACAGCCTATTTGCAAGTACTACGCTTTTCTTGCATACTTGCCATCCAATGTGTAGTTTTACATGGAGCACCAACGGCAACCTACTAACAGGATTCACAGAAATCCGAATCAACTGCGGTCAGAGGAGGACATTAAACACACCAAGGTAGCTTTGGTCTTAGAGGCAGTCCCTAACCTGATCCTCAAACTAAGTGCGGACCAGCTAAAATAATTAAACAACCAATAAATCAAACATATTCTCATAAAAACAGAAGGAACTTACGCTGATTTAAATCCTAGGATCTTGATCTTACTACCTACACTTTGGCTCCACTTACCAGTCGCTCATCAGTGCTTGTTGCAAGGCCTCATCCTGTGCCCATGGACAGGCTTTTCCTGCTATCTTTCTGTCTGCTCCAATACGAGGGAACAGCTGCAGCCACGACAGTGATGGGTGAAGCCAGTAAACAAGGCTCTGCTGAAAGGCACAACGCAGTTCTGTGGACAGTTTTGGTTCCTAGATTATAAGAAGTATTTTAGGAGAACAGAAATACTTTATTTAAGGCAGCATCGCAACTGATGGAATTAAAAAAAAAAAAATAAAATGGATTAGGTGCTAAAAAAATGGTATCACAGGTTTGTGATTAAGCCAGACTGAAGATGGGCAGCGACAGGAAACTGCTCGCAGTTGAAATTAACAACCCACTCAGTCACCAGTTTGCCACAGATGACATTTTTGAGTACGCAGTGGATGGAACTAAATAGCTGTCTACATGAGCCTTATTCTCTACACAAGTAAGACCAGAACAAAACAAGCAAATCTTCACTGCCAGTACATTTAGGGAGAGGTGCAAAGGTTCCCCCTTATAAAGCAGCAGCTTCCAGCTCCCGTCTGAAGTTTCATTACCTGTACACTCTGTGGCAAGTTTATTTCTGCTGCTCTGCAATGCTGAACAAACCCCTGAGCTTCCTCCTGTGCTTTTAAATGCTCTGCCCAAGTGAAAGGTTGAGAAGACGTAAACAGAAGTCGTGTTTTGATACTCCAGTCTGCAGGAAACTCGTGTCTCGGTGAGGGGGGGACATCAGGGGTAGGAACAGGTAAATGAAGATCCTTTAAAAATGGAAACAGCATCAGTTAATCCACAGTCAATTAATAAAACCAAACAATCAATGATGCAGCTGCCTATGCACGTTTTCACATGGTCAGGCTTCCTCCCATCCTGGCTCAATACACCCCTCCTGGCAGGCAGAGCAGATCCTAAACAGGACAGTGGCTGTTACAAGGCACTAGTGGAGCTCCACAGCCTTCACAAGGAGAAGGCGAACCTGCTGTTTCTTGTAAGTTTCTGCCTAACTCACTTTAACAGTACACTACAAGTCTCTCCCTTGTAAGGAACTACTTGCACTAAATCAGGAGCGCATACTTAGGCTTCCCAGAGGATAACAAAAAATGTTGGAGTTCCAGGATGGTTTGGTCTGAGAAGTTTTTCTGTTCTAAGTTACTCTGAGCTTAAGTTTCTGAACCTATAAAAGCCTCTGACACCATCAGCCTGAAGCTCTGCCAAGGACTGTTATTCTCTTTCCTATTTAGGCAGCTTAGAGAATTTTCTCAAATGCTGACATTTTAGTACATCTAAAGATGTACCACCAAATTCTAAGTATGTAGAATCATAGAATCTTTTGACTTGAGTTGATCTTTAAGGGTCCTTTAAAGGCCATCTGGTCCAACTCCTTTGTCATGAGCAGGGACAGCCACAGCTCCATCAGGTGCTCACAGCCCCGTCCAGCCTGACCTTGAGTGTCTCTAGGGATGGGGCATCCACCACCTCTCTGGAAAACCCGTGCCAGTGCCTCACCACCCTTACTATAAAAGACTTCTTCCTTATATCCAGTCCAAACGTCCCCTCTTTAAGTTTGAAACCGTCTCCCTGTGCCCAATCCCATCGGACCTCACTGAAGAGCCAGTCCCCTTCTTTAAGCAGTTAATCAGCTCGGGCTTTTCCCGAGGTCAATGCAGCAAGAGGCGTTTCAGAATCCTTACGCGAGGCCCCGTACCTCGGGCAGCGCCAGGACGTCTGTTCCCTGTGAGAGCTCCACGTTCCGGGCCGGCTTATCTTCTCCTGCAGACTCTAAAAACTGAAGGAAAAAAACGTGAGATTGACAACGTTAAAACAGGCTTTTTGCAGAGGAATCTCACAAGCCCCTTCCCCTCAGGGCGGATCTCTACCTGCCAGAAGGGCACAGTGGAGGCGGGCCCCCGCCCGGGCTGCGCCGGCTCCTTCTGCCGCCAGACCGGCTGCCGCGGCGCGTTGTCCAGGCTGGAGAAGGGGTTACGGCGGACGGACGCCGAGGGGGCCCTCGGGGCCGCGCCGCAGGGCTGGGGGGCAGCGGGCTCGCTTCTCTGCGGCCGCTTGCGCTTCAGCCGCAGCGTGGCCGGCGGCTTCTTGAAGCCCGGCGAGTAGCCGGGCACGGCGGCCGCCATGGCTGGGAGCGGAGGGGCAGGGCGGGAGCCGCCGTCCCCGCTTGGCGCCAACGGGACCGGGCTCCGCCCCTGGGCGGCGCTGAGTTGTGGTGGCGGCCGCCATTTCCTCCGGCCCCTGGAGGGCGCGCGGCACCAGGGCTGGAGCATCCTCAGAACCAGGACAGCCAGGCTAGCTCAGTCTGGGCCGAGCCCAGTTCTGCCGGCACTGCTCTCATCCCGATATGCTGCAAAGCCTCAGGCTGCGTTGTGCAGTCGGCTAGGCACCCAGCTAGCACTGGGGTGTGTACCTTTCTTGGCTTATTTTACAGCTCCAGGAGCTGCACCATCTTGCTGTCAGCTCAAAACTGCTTACATCTGTCAATGGACGTTTGAAAGAAAGAGTTGCTTAGGGGTCCTTATGAACCCTTTTCATAGAATCACAAGGTTGGAAAGGACCTACAAGATCATCTGGTCCAACCATCCTCCCATTACCCTCGCTACCACAAACCACTAAACCACTTTGTTCAAGTACATCTACATCTACAGCTAGCATTAAAGAACATTAGAACAAGCTGAGATATCTCAGCCAACTGCAAGCAGCACTGGGCAGCTTAATGCCTTAAATGAACGGACATTTATCTCAGGATCTGATCCAGCTGGAAGCCTAAACGCAGGCAACTTCAGCTATGGCCAGCACATCTGAAACAAGTGTGATCTTAAATAAAAGCAAGGAGGAAGCAACATGCTTTGAGAAAAAACAACAGCCTCTACCCCCAAAAAATTAAAAAAAAATCACAGCAGTTCCGTCTCTGCCGATCTGTTCTAGGAATAGGACCAAGGTTAAAAAGGAGAAGTGAAAGAGCACAGAATACAAGGATCTCATAGGAAAGAGAAAAAGAAATATAACGTTACAGTAACAAGATACATAAAGTATCTGAAACTTCAGAATTGCAGGACTGTCTTAGCTGCTGGACTGCTGATAGTAAGTAAGGTTTACTGTTCTGGGTTGCTAAAATGAAGAAAACCAGCAATGAGGGAACTCCTGCTCTCAGTACCATCTCTCCCCTCTAGGATCCCTGCCAATCCTGATGGATTTCCCATTCTGCCTTTCAGCTACATAACAGCAATTTTAAAGATAATTTAAGACCTTCAGCACACTGCAGACACTGCTCAGTCTTAATGCAGCCAAATAAAAGCAATTCGGTGTGGATGGGACTATTGGTAGGGGACAGAGAAGGGAAAACTTAAAAAAACAAAACCTACAAACCCAAACAAAAAACACTGCTAGCATTGCTTTTTTCCCCTTTAATTTCTTATGGGTGAAAAACAGCAGCAAGGGAGATCACCCATAGATGTTATTGACATTTATAATGAGGGCAGGGCAGCCAAGATTTGTGCGTCAAGACCATCTGTTCAGAAATTGCTGATGGGAACATTTTACTCAACTGGATCAAAAAACCTCTCAAGTCCCAGGAGCTTCACAGACCATTTGTGCTGAGGTACAGAAGATCTTTAAATTCTGGTTACAGAACCACTTGAAAGCGTACACTAGTTTACTTCTGAAATACATTACATTTCTTTATCTTCCATGGGTTTAGAAGTCAGGAATTCGTGTGTTAGAACTGAATGACTTGTCTTTTTCTTGTTTGATTCTTCTGAACTATTTCCATAGAGACTTTGGCTTCATACAGTGGAATTGGTTCATCCAGCTGAGGCCTAAAATGGAACAGAACGTCAGACTGGTTTGCTGAGCATGCTCAGATCAATAGCAACATTCTAAGACTATTGCTATAGACTTTACTTTCACTATGTAAACTTTACTCCTTAAACACAACGAATGTTTTACTGCTTTGCTTGGATAGGCAAAAGAATGAAAGGGCCCTAAAGCAAATAGGAATCAGAAGATAAATATATATCTTTCTAATGATGAGGAAAAGGTGGTGGTGGGAAAACTTCTGCTCTACAGCAATACTGTTAGCCCACGTTAATAGGAAGGATCTTTCATTCTCACCTCATTATGGCTCTATCTAATAAGGCTGTCACTCTTCTTACAAAGGAATATCAGACAGAGCTATTGAATTTTACAGCCAACCCCATTTCTCAGTTGGACACACAGCTGAGCAGTCAGATACATGCTCTTCCTCCACCAAGAAAAGAATGCGCTGCCTCCGCTAAATTTTGCCATCAGCAAAATCAGAGATTTTACCAAGTTTCCCCAGGCTCAGCCTGCTACATTATAAACAGATCACAAACAGTTCCACATAAGCTATTTGAGGCATCCTTTCCTCAACCTCCCAACATAGATCTGCTATGCTGGCAAGAGATTTCTACTCAATAAAAATAAAAGCAATCATCTTTCTTACCTGAAAATACCGCTTGATAATTTCTCCATTATATCTTCTAAGATGCGTATCTACGGGCTCTGTCAAGGTAACAGCATATCTACAGATAATTCTTTCAACAGCTGGGTTTGCTGCTAAGAGCCCACTGTTCACATGAAACCAGCAGGATCGAGACAAAACAAAAATGAACTGTAACTCCGTTAGATCTGATCTACGCAAGTGTTGATATATCAGAATAACCTTTCCTGGCTTGTAGAAATGAAAAAAAGAATTATTATAAAAAAGATTAAGCAAAGAGTTACAGTATGCAAATGCAGTCTACAGGAAGTAAAGTAAAGCACAGCACTAAGTAATGAGATGGCAACTGCACACTTGTTGCCATTCCTTGGAGCAACATTGTACGCCTTTAAAGGAATCTCTGTGCTAATGCATAACATTCGGAGCGATGCAACAGATGATTTTGTATTTAGTGTCCACATGAAACTCTGAAAAAATAATCTTTCTTTTTTCATCTTAAGAGCAACCTGGTTAACATTTGAAGCTCAAGGCATTTGAAAAAGATCACCTTGTGATTTCTTCAGCTAAGGTGTCAGTGCCATAGGGTCAAGAATCTCACAAGATACAGAGCTACCAAAAAGCAGACTTTTTCTTTGCAGCTTTTAAAGAAGTGGTGATGAAAGGTGCTGTGGTTATTAGGAGAGACAATAGAAGAAGATGTGTTTTAGTCAGCTTCAAGTTCAACAAAAGTACCAAAAGATAACACTATGTTTGATAACCTATATCCCATAAATAGATCCCTCAGTGTGCCTGCCCTTGCCTAATCTACTTTGCAGTTCAGTGGAGGAGGGGAGGACTTCTTCGCAGTGTGGTCAGTCCTTTGACAAGCCTAATGACTTAATCCTCACCTGCCTCTGCTGCTCTGCTAAGATGCAAAAGTGATTCAGCAGATCTCAATCTGCAGTGCACAACAGGGAGGGTCCTTAAAGCCACAACCATTCCACGAAGCAACCCACTGAGCACTGCCCTGTCAGCAAAAAGCTCCAGGTTCACCTTCTTAAGGCCACACGTTGGTAATGCAAATGAAGGCAGCACACCTCTGTCCACACCCACATCTTCCCTCAATTAAATGTTACTCACACACACTGCAGATAACAGAGAGATTACGAAGCTGAAATATTTGAACATTTACAGTTAATCTGATTGCATGAACATTTACAGGTGATACATCCCAACACAACCAAAAATATACATATGTCCAAAATACTTTATGTACAATGTAAAAACTTGTAGGGCTTCACTTAATTGCCTCAAACAAAACCACTGTTTTTTCCAGAATGCATTTTTGCCTTTCACCATTACTTTTTACTTCTTATTTAGAAAGTATGCAGAGCTTTAAATACAAAGGTTACACTGAAGTTACACTGTATGCTGCTCTGTGCTGACCTTAAGCCTGAGGTCACAGGAGGGAACAGAAGATGATTTATTAGTTAATGTGTTACATTTCCATCCATTCCTTAGCAGTCACTACTCAAAACTATCATCAAAAGGATATAGAGATACTTCCCCTGCTCTATATTGGACAAGTTCCATATCTCCTCATTTAGAAAGGAGACTGTGGCTCCTTTAAGAAACAAGGAATGACTGTCTGGAGGATCCAGCTTAAACAGAATGAAGAAATGTGTTATTTAGTTACATTTTCCTGTACAAAAATAAAGATTAAATGGTTAATTTACATTTATGGTTATAAAACAAACAGACAATAGTTAATAGCCAAGCTATTAACTTATTACATTAGGGAAGGGAGCTCCAAAATTGTCACGAAGCAAAACATAAAGAAAAAAAAAAAAGCATTACTAAACTGGAATGCTTTTCATTTTCTGGCCATGAAAATTGATGTCATTTAATAGAGGGTAGCCATTCAGCCACGTACTGCAGTATAAACAAACCTGGTGATCAATACAGTCTCTTTACCTGAAGATTTCTCTCTGTTGTTATCCAGTTTCCCCCAACACCAAGAAGAGTGATGATATCATGCTTATGAGGCAATAACTGGGATTTTGAAGCTGATTCATCTTCAGCACTATATAATTTTACTGGAAAAATAGAAGGACATCCAAGCTCAGAAGAAAACAATCGTCATCAAAAATGAAATGCTTATCTTTTCCCATATAAAAACCTGCATCTTGGGGTTCTTTCAGTCTCATGACTTAAGATACAAAAGATATTCACCTGAACGCACACACTGCGTGATCGCTGCCTGCAACAGAACTAGAATTCAGTTCCGCTGTTGGCCTCATGGGGCTGTCAGAGACAGCAGAAGATTCAGGAAATTCAATACAATCTGCTTTCAAGGTATTTCAGTGGGACTAAGTAGTTCTTTAATTACTGCAACCACACTTCTCAGCTATTCTGACTGTTGTAGAAAGATGATCTCTAAGGTAGCGTAAACAGTGATGTCACAGATATACTTCTAAACACCACTTCTTTTCAGCTCTAAGTAGAGAAGAAGCATTTCAGACCAATTTACTGATCCCTAATATTTCGAGATACTTCCACTAGAGGTAACACAAGGATCTTTCTGAAGGAGGTCTGCTGAGTAAAGACACCTCCATAAAATTACATGGGATCAAGTGACGACAAGGTTTTGAGGTGATGTAACTTCCACATTTACTACTTGGAAATAAAACACTTGGTGCTACTCTGAGGACCATGTTCACATCAGTTACATACCTCCAGCATCTACAACAATATCCACTCCCAGGCCACCTGTTTCTTCCAAGCAGCTTTCTGCCACATCTATCTTTCCATTTGACACATCGATCACCCGAGCTAGACAAAGCAATACATTCAGCTGGTTACAAGAAAACCACAGAGCCACAGAGTTCAGATTCACAGCAGAATGAAGATCTCCCATTTTCTGTATTATGAGTAAGTTTGTAGTTAAGTCAGAAAGCTCAATCAATGTTTTTTTCATTTCCCAAAACAGGGAAAACCAAAATGAAAACACTGATTAAATTTAATTGAGAAGAAAAACTTCATTTACTTTTTTTTTTTTTTTTTGTACAAACAGACTTCAATATTTCTTCCTAACATGCAATTTCATCTTCAACATCAGAAGTAAATGCGTAAAACCCAATAAGCTCAGTCACTAATGAGCTGCTGACTTGACTTTTCTGATGACTGCAGCAAGATTTTTAATCTCATTACATCCATCTTCTTTTTAAAATAATGCTTAGCAGCATCACCCCCTATCTCACGAAATGGATAAGCTGATTAAAGGTATTACCTAATGCATTATTTTTAAAATAAGTGAACGGCCCTCTGGGTCATTAAACAGATATGCAGCTAGAAGTCTCTGCATCTCCTTTTGAGATATTCCTGATCTGAAAGTCACTAATGCATTTTTTTCTCAGGTATGAACGACATCGTACTTACAGATGGATATGAAAAGAAATGAAGGCGCCAGGAACAAGGGTGGAGAAGTAGAAGTTTCTTCTATAGAAACTATAAAGGCCAAAGACTTCTTGACAAAATGACAATTGCAATAGTGAAATTTAGAGGCTCATTTCCAAAGCACGATGAACTAAACTCAAATTTGCCAAGTGCACTTACTCACTAAAGGCTGCTGCATACCTTCTTGAATTTAAGCATGGGGACGAGGAATGAAAAGAAGAAAGATTGCAAGAAACTGATCATTCGGAAGAATATTAAGAAATACTCCTTTTCCCCCCTCTGTTCAAATACTAAGATGTACTCAAATTTTATCACTTAGTATTTTTCACTGCAATCAAATTATCTGGCCAAAAACAACAGACATGGTCATAACTTCATAGTAATTTCAT